GGGGGCTGCCCTGGGAAGCCTGGACGGGGGAGCTGGGTCTGGGGGGGGGGCAGGGGGGGGGGGCAGGGGGGCGAACGACACGACACGACACGAAAATAAAGATGTCCGAGGCTCAGGGGGGCTGCCCTGAGCTCGACTCGCATCTGCGGTCGTGTATGTCTGCAGCGAGCGATGCAAAGGTATGGGGGGGGGCGGCGCAGACAGGCCTTTCGGGGGGGTCAACGTGTTGTTCTGCGGCGGTTTTTATCAGCTTGAACCGCCGTCGGGAACGGCAATCAATGCGCTGCCCACGTCGTACTTGAAAAGTTCGAGGAAGTACGCGCCGGGGGCTACAGAGGACCGGACAGCACATCTTCTGGGGGGCAGGCAGTGAAGGGGGATTTCAAGGGATGACAGATTTCACGGAGTGCAAGCGCGTGGAAGACCAGGATGACTGGTTTCTTGGGGTGCAAGACAAATTCCGTCGCGGAGAGCTGACCGAGCGGACGCGCAATAGTTTGCATGGGGAGCTCGCGGACGTGCCAGGGTCATGGGTGAGCGGCGCGCCGCAATGCGGCCGCGCTCGTTGTGGGGAGATGATAGAAGAATTTGCAAAACACAATGCTCTGGAGTGCGAGGTTTGCAAGGATGAGCGAGAGAAGAGAAAACTGGTAGCGACGTCGTCAGAGGACGCGCGATTCAGGGGAGAGAGGTTCGTGGATGCCGTTGCGGTTTATGCGAATCAGGACATTCGGTGCCACGCGGGGAAGCAGAGCAGTGAATGGGCGAGGGAACGGGGAGAGCAGGTTCTGCGGGTCGCAGGAATAGACCGACCCTGCCATGGGGGGGGGCAAAGGCGGCCGTGCACGGTGGAGAACGAAATACGGTGGCTGGGGTACCACGAGAAAGTGTGCGGAGGCTTACCGGGGTGGCTCCCGTTGGCCACAGGGATGCCCGCGGCGCTTGGAGATCATTTGGATAGGTCGAAAAAACAGCTGCTGCGGGGGCGAGCAGCGACGATTCATGGATGGGTGTTGCACGACGACGAGGTCGTCGGAGACGCGGACGAGGAGGTCTTGTCGCACTTGCCGAAAATGATAGTGTTGGACTTCCGTGCGAAGGAATGGCACCTGCCAGGGTTGGAGCCGGGCTGTGCCCAATTTCCCGATCTAACGGCCGCCGGTGGTTGTTGGGCGAGTATCGGAAGCATCCTGCAGGGGGCGCGAGGCGCGCGCAGTTCATGATAACGCCAGCGTTGGCAGTCACAGCACGCGCCGCGCAAAAGGGGGAATATGGCGTAAGTTGAATGTCCAGTTACGCGGCCGTTGCGCGCGCGTGGAGGCGGGGGAACTTGTTGATTTTCAGGCCTTCCGACGGGAAGCCGCACGACGAAGGCGAGGTGCCAGGCGCGCAGAAGTTGTTGCAGGTGTTTCGCGGGGAGAGAGTGGATTGGGAGGAGTGGGGGGCGAAGCTGATGCCGCGCGATCAGCGCGGGCGTTTCCGACGTCGGCTGCTGGTGGAGGCGGTCGCGAAGTGCGAGTTCCAGCGGGGGGAGAGGCTGGTATTCTGTAAAGAGTGAACCGCCGAAATGAAGAGCCGAGACGAGAAGTGGTGCAAAACGTGCGACACGCGGGCAACGAACGCGCAGGGCTACGGGGGCGCGCGGGGGGGCGGCGACGCGGGCGTGGCAGGTGTTGGCGGTGGGGGTGACGCCAAAAGGATTCGGACCTTGTGCTGCGTCAATTGCAGCGGCGTCAAAACGCAACAGAGGTCGCGCCGTTACTGCGCGAAGTGGGCCGAGAGCGTCGGCAAAGTGCGTTGTTCGAGCGATGGCTGTCTGTCGCTATTCCAAGAGGAGGCGGAGATGTCCGAAGCTCAGTAGAAGCACGAAGCAGCAGGGGGAGCTATGTCGGAAGTGCGCGGAAGAACGTGAGATGACGACGCGCGAGTCGAATAATAGGAAACGGAAAGCCGAGGCGGACGCGAAGCCACTGACGTGCGCGGCGCGCGGAGGGGCGTTTTCGGACACGAAACATCTGAAGCAGAAGCAAAAGGAAAATTATCGAGCGGCGAAAGAAGCCAACGTGGTGTGCGGAGGCTGCAAGGAACTTGGGCTCGCAGCACGCAGTTCCCAGGCGTATCAGTGCAGCGGCGCGTGCAAGAGATGACTACCGAAGTCGGTGTTCTCCGGGAACCCTACCAATATCGCGCGCGACGAGAGGAAGGGCACCTTGAAGTGCGAGACGCGCAGATGATGCCCAATCGGGCGCGCGTGCTGGGGAGGAGAAGAGGGCGGGGAGAGAAGGATGGGGGGTGAGGCGGAGATGGTGGGGGGGAAAAATCGAGGGGGAGGGGGGGGGGGGAGGAGGAGGAAAAGAGGAGGAGGAGGCGAAAGAGGAGGTTCAGAAGGATGAGGGCGAGGCGGGGGAGGAAGAGGACGAGGGGGACGAGGAGGAGGAGGAGGAGGAGGAGGAGGAGGAGGAGGAGGAGGAGTGGGAAGAGGAAGAGGAGGGGGACGCAGAGAGGAGGCTCTGGGTTATGGGTTATGTGTTCGAGTTTTCTTGTATGTGTATCGGGATCTCGTGGCACGCCTCTCGGGGGCATCTGGAATGCTGTTTTGAATACACACGGGGGCCGTTTCGGGGCCTCTGGGGGTGTTTTTGCTGCCTCTTGGGGGCGTGTTGGGAGCTCCTTAGGGCGTATTGGGGGCGTTTTGGGGGCCTCTAGCGGCCTCTTCGGGCACTTTTGGGGCCCCTGGGGGGTCCTAGGGGCGGAAAACTAGATTGCGAAGGCCTGACGGCCGGTGCCGCCGACCCTGTTCGCAATGCGCAGCAAGAGATTACGAGGTTGCTCAAGGTCGGCTTGGCTGGAGCCCAGGGGAAGAGGAGTCCCAGGGGGGGGCGTCGTATCTGACCCGGGGGGGGGGTCGCTACCCCCCCCTCCCTCCCGGCGGGGGAGGGATCAAAGGGAAGGGGCTTCCCTTCGACTCAATTACGAGGTTGCTCAAGGTCGGCTTGGCTGGAGCCCAGGGGAAGAGGAGTCCCAGGGGGGGGCGTCGTATCTGACCCGGGGGGGGTCGCTACCCCCCCCCCCCTCCCGGCGGGGGAGGGATCAAAGGGAAGGGGCTTCCCTTCGACTCAATTACGAGGTTGCTCAAGGTCGGCTTGGCTGGAGCCCAGGGGAAGAGGAGTCCCAGGGGGGGGCGTCGTATCTGACCCGGGGGTGGGGTCGACACCCCCCCCCCCTCCCGGCGGGGGAGGGATCAAAGGGAAGGGGCTTCCCTTCGACTCAATTACGAGGTTGCTCAAGGTCGGCTTGGCTGGAACCCAGGGGAAGAGGAGTCCCAGGGGGGGCGTCGTATCTGACCCGGGGGGGGGGTCGACACCCCCCCCCCCCCACCCGGCGGGGGAGGGATCAAATGGAAGGGGCTTCCCTTCTACTACTATTACGAGGTTGCTCAAGGTCCGTCTTGGCTGGAGCCCCAGGGGAAAGGAGTCCCCAGTGGGGGGCGTGTATCGAACCCGGGGGGGTGGGTCGAACCCCCCCCCCCCCCTCCCCCGGGGGCCGGGGGAGGGAATCAAGGAAGTGGCTTAACCCTTCGACTCAAAAAAAAACAATTACGAGTTTTGCTCAAAGGTCGGCTTGGCTGGAAGCCCAAGGGGAAAGGAGTCCCAGGGGGGGGCGCGTCGTAATCGGAACCCGGGGGGGGTTCGACACCCCCCCCCCCCCTCCCGGCGGGGGAGGGATCAAAGGGAAGGGGCTTCCCTTCGACTCAATTACGAGGTTGCTCAAGGTCGGCTTGGCTGGAGCCCAGGGGAAGAGGCCTCCCAGGGAAAGGGAAGGACAGAGACGACGAGTACAAAGAATGACGGAGATGACGGCACGAACGGAAAAGCCCCTCACACACGCCGACAGGGTCG